CTGGGTCGGCCTTGAAGGTTTTTGGCCAGACAGACGGATCACGTCGGGATCGCGTACAGGCATATTATTCGTTGCCGTGCTAAGGACTAGCTTTTCGGCATCTGTGATTAGCTGTTTGCAGAAGTCGAGAACCGTGGTCGTGGGATTCTAGCGGAGTTCACTTCGACGCGAGCTAGTCACTACAATAGCATCCCCACTCAGCTGGGATCCGAGCTGCCTCACCCTTTTGTGTTCGCCCACAGTGCGCGGATCTGCATCCTCTCCCATCTCCTGTCTTCTTGATTTTGTCTTGACACCGAGCCCAGGTGAGGGAGTAGAACAGAGGACGAGGTAGATGTATCGCAGATCTGCCCTTACTATACTCCAGTGCAAGTCATCGTCCCTGCGCTACCTTGCTGTGGACCTCATCGAGACCGACGGTCGATCTGTCGGGTACCATGCAGGCGAATAAATATTTAAAGTCGACCAGCTCGTTGAAAACATCATGGATGATGATATGATGATAATGATGATGAGTATGATGATGATGATGATGATGATGATGAGGAGGACATAATAATAATAATAATAATAATAATAATAATAATATGATGATGATGATGATGTACTAGGTCAGACAGTTCACTGATGCATGCGAGAAGGAAAAGGTAGGAAGGACCGATGATGATGATGATGATGATGATGATGATGATGATGATGTTGATGATGGTGATGATGATGATGATGATGATGATGATGATGATGATGATGATGATGATGATGATGATGACAAAAGGCATCTACTTTGTCCATTTTAGAAACCGTCACATGGCAACCACCGCCGCTTCCTATTGCCCCACATGCCAGGTCAGCCTACCTACAGCCGATCGGCGAACCCACCTCAAGACAGACTGGCACGTGTACAATCTGAAGCGTGTCGTCGCCGACTTGCCACCAATCGATGAAACCGAGTTTAACAAAAAGCAAGCTACCTTCCTGTCAACAGTTTCCGCGCCTGCTGTCAGCAGTGGCAAGGTTAGCCCTTGCCCCGCCGCCCTTCCTAACGCCCCTTTCTAGAAGTTTCACTGCCAGTGCTGCAAAAAGTCTTTCAACTCACAAAAATCCTACGCCAACCACATTGCCTCCAAGCAACATCAAGTGAATGTCCAGGACTTTAAGAGGTACGTCCTCCGCTTGCTTACGCCTAACGTGTCTTTTTTTCCCTATAGTAGGTCAACTAGCGCAACAGAGCAGACTTCTGCAGAGATGCGGCCAGAAAGCGTAGAAAAACGGAACGCCGTCACTGAAGCAGAAGAGGAGGAAGA